AGGGCCTGTAAAGTGGAGCTGTTCCACCAGGCCTATGGCTGAGGCGGTGGATGTCCAAACATCTCAGCCTCCCCTGCTCATACTGCCCTATTTAATAGCCCTACAATGCTAAAGAGACCTGCATAGCATCTTCTGGCCAATTGGATGCCTTATTGACCATCTAGCCAGCACCCACACAGGAGGTATTTTGGACTACCACAAACCGGCCTGCCATCTTATTCTGAATTGGTTTTAAACTGGATTTAAATTGTATATTTTAATATTGTTTTACTGTGAAATGACCTATTGTGACCTGCCCTGAGTCCACTAGCAGAGGAGGGCAGGATATAAATCAAATAAATCAATAAACAAAACTTTATCCAGAGTCTAAATGCGTCCAGCCAAGCTACTGATTCTAATGAAGGAATTGCACATTCTTGGTGAATGGCTACACTGGATATACATTTTGGTAACCTGGTTATTTTTCTCAGGAATCCAACTAATCCAGCTCTCTGTTTACTACACCACACTGGTATCTATTGCTACACTGGTTTTCCAAACCTCAAATACAGCCTGGATCTATCACCTGAGTTGCCCATCTCTTCAAATAAGGCAAATGTCAACTTGGCTGAGGCACAGTTATGGTTATGAAAACTGTATGTGGGCTAAATAATTAAGCTGCCCTCACCTGTACTGCAGTCCTGATGTGAACTGGGGTCTCCCATGGTTGCTATTTGAGAGGGGGGGACATGTTGGGTCTAATCAAGCTCTTCATTTTGCCCAGAATGACTGTTATGAAGAATGAAACAGATGATGTCCTAGAACAAAGGTACAAAGATCCTTGGAAAGGGAAAGACTAGTGTTGATAATATTTCTACTTATGAGGTATTAAAAACACACAATAAAGATTGCTTATAAGTCACTGGAACATGTTTAATAGAATGGGTCTATTGTCCCTCAGTCACACTGAGGTCTTCTCTACCCCTTCCCAGCTCCCAAAATCTGAAATGTGTGTGTGTGAATTTGTACGAAGCCCTGGGTTCTTTTGCAGGATTTTGCAGCCCTCCTTCATTCTCCTCATCCACTTTACATTTTATACTAGGTGTGTCACCCATCTCATGGAGTTTCTTATTATAGGCAGACTTAAAACTTGACAAGCCTTAGCTTGCAAATTGGCAAAAAATATGCCTAGATTAAAAGCAACTCCAAGGACCGTTTTAACCATTTTTCTACTACAGTAAATTTCATCAGTATAATAAAACTGCTGCTGAGTCTGGCTAAGCATGTGCACACTGAAAACAGAAACACACCTGTAGTTTTCTGGGTTTTTTGCCATCAAGTTGCAGCTGACTTATAGCTACCCAGTAGGGCTTTCAAGGCAAGAGACACTGAGAGGTAATTTGCCATTGCCTGCCTCTGTGTAGCAACCCTGGACTTCCTTGGTGGTTTCCCATTCAAGTACTAACCAAGGCCATCCCTGCTTAGCTTCCAAGTTCTGACAAGATTGGGCTCACCCAGCTAACCAAAGGGCACACTTGTACTACGGAAGTCAAAATGGTATGTAACTAAACATAATACATATGTGACATATTGCACTGATGTAATTGGACACCAAGAGAATTTATCTAGTCTCAAGTATTTAAAAAGATTTTGGATTTAAATTTGTCTTTGCACCTAATTCCGGTTAGTTTTTCTTTTTCATGCCTCAAATATTTGACTTTTTAAGAATTATGTAAAATAGAAGGCCATTTCCTGTTCTCCCAGAATCACAGGACACATTTTCAGGGAGGCCACACTTTTAAACATTTCTTCAGCTCTAAATCCAGGGTAGGGTTGCCAAGTGTACCTACCCTTGGCAGCGGGGGAGCCTTGCCGGGCTCCGGGAGCTCTCGCTGGACGCGTCACAGGAAGTGACGTGCTACGGCGCTCACGTTGGGGGCGTGGCCCAGATCGTCGGGGGGAAACCCCCCGGGGCCCAATTTCGCCGCGGCAGAAATCGGGCCTCCAAAGCGGGGGTTTCCCCGCCCCCCGCCCCCACTTGGCAGCCCTAGTCCAGGGGTTCATTACATCATGTGTGCAAGTATCATTAGCAGCCTCACTTGTGAAATTTTGAGTCAAACTTAGTGTTTGTGTTACCAAATCTGATCATGCAAGACGCAAACTGATATGAATCAGGATAAGAATTATTTTATACAAGTGGGAACCCACAATACTCACATTGGGACTCCCTCCTCCACTGCTGCTGATTCTCTCTTTATGGCTTGAGGGGGGGGAGAATCCTTACCAGCTGCCAGAGTGATCCTCTGCTGCTGCCAAGCCAGAAGAAGTAGCCGGTATCCTCTGCTGCCAGGTCAGGTGTGGAGCAGCAGCTGGCATGCTCCTTGTGGCCAGGCCCAGAGCAGCAGCCAGTGTGCTCCACCATTACTGCTGGGCCCGCAGCAGCCGCCAGTGTGCTCTGCCATTACTGCTGGGCCCGCAGCAGCCGCCAGTGTGCTCCGCCACCACTGCTGGGCCCACAGCAGCCGCCAGTGTGCTCCGCCACCACTGCTGGGCCCAAGGGCTAGAGCAGTTCCCAGCATGTTCCTTGCTACTGTAAGGCCAGGAGCGGCAGCTGGTGTCCTCTGCCGCTGCAGCCCAGCCGCTGGCAGGGTTCCTGGGTGGCACTGCTGCTGCTGGGCTCAGCAAGGCTTCTCTGGCTGTGTCAACCGCCTGGGGTAAGTCCTCTGTGCTTGCACAGAGAATGCTAGTTTACTTTAAGAGGGATTTAATTCCCCCCATGTGTCTTTTTTTGAAAATTCAGATTTTTCTGCAAACCTGGGGAGTAGCCCAAGTTTTAGCCCCCACGTGGCCCCAATCTGCAGATTTGGTTATCCACAGATGTGGGCCATGGGTGGCTAATAGCATACAGATAAGCAAAAAAACCTCACATATCTACATTTATTTCCCCCATAAACTCCCCTTGTAGTCAACAGAACCTAACTGTGCTCATTTAGAATGAATTTAATCACAAATGCACACAAATGAGGTTAGAATTTACAAATCATACATAAAATTATAATGGCTGGATTTAAAATATTTTAAAGCAAGGAGAGAACTTGCCTAGTAATTTTGAAGATTTAACAGAAGGAAAAAAAGAGGCTAATACCACATTTATACAGGAAGTAGAGGCTGAGAAAAGAGGTAGTTTCAACCAACTTTTCCAAACTTGCACAAAAACAACATAAAGATATGGAAAACACATCTGTAGTGGTATCTGACAATAACACGTTTCAGAGCTACATCATGGGGGAAATTCCTCCTTGCATCAGATTACATCAGTTCTGGTCTAGGAAAGTACCTACCACAAAATAAAAAGTAGTGGCTAAAGAGTGGAAAGACTGGGCATTTGCTCCAATACTGATAAAGGACTTACCACGTTAACACTGCCATTTTGCACAGAATGCTCAATAAAATGCACAGCAAAAGAGAATTTTCAGTTTTCATGAAAGTGACTTGCCTAAATGTCTTCAAAATCCTGAACTAGCACTGGACTATTAAGGTACCACAGAATTCACTGCCACAGGAGATGGTGGCGGCTACCAGCATGGACGGCTTCAAAAGGGAATTGGATAAACACAGGGGTCATTTCCTGCAGGAGCGCAGAGGAGCAGAGCTCCGGCAGTAAAGAGTCCAGGGGGCGGGCACATGCAACAAGCCCCACCCCCTGATCCCAGCAGCCTTCAGTCAGAGCAAGAAGCTGCCAGGTAAGCTGCAGAGCCCCCCGGCCCCCTGGTCCAAAACAGTCCAGTGGCACCTGAGAGGTGGGTGTTGCCTTCTGACACACTTCCGGTGATGTCAGGGGGTGTGACATATGCAAATAAGTTATGCTAATGAGCTATGCTAATGAGCTCCTGACCTCTTTTTCTATGAAATGACCCCTGGATAAACATATGGAGCAGAGGTCCATCAGTGGCTATTAGCCACAAGGTATAGATAGGAACTCTCAGTTGAGGGCAAGGGATGCTCTGTATTCTTGGTGCTTGGGGGGGGGGCAACAGTGGGAGGGCTTCTAGTGTCCTGACCCCACTGCTTCTAGTGTCCTGATGGCACCTGGTAGTTTTGGCCACTGTGTGACAGTGTTGGACCGGATGTGCCATTGGCATGATCCAACATTGGCTTCTCTTATGTTCTTAATGAGCTCCCAGAAGAGATCAGGGCCCTGAGGGACCTCATGCAGTTCTGCAGGACCTGCAAGATGGAGCTCTTCCACCAGGCCTTCAATTAGGACCCGCCCCTGATAGAGAACCCTGTTCCCTGAAGCCACCAGAACAGCCTGTGCCGACTGCACAAAGATTAGACCTATGGGCTAACTACTAGGATGGAATACTGACGGGTCGACCGCCATCATTTAATAACCTATTCGTGTCATTAATGTTAGCACCCTTTAAGGTTGGAATGTTTTATATGGTTTTAGGACTATTTAAATTGATTACTCGTGTGTTTTTATTCTTTTATGTAAGCCGCCCTGAGATGGCCTCGGCTGGGAGGGTGGGGTATAAATCTGATAATAAATATAACTTTCACTATTTGTTGTTCCTGTGACAGCCCATCATATGAAATAGGCATAACCCATATTCTGTCCTTGGCTCTTTTTACCAGTTTTGGTCCCTTAAACTCTCCCCTGTTTGATTTATCTATGGTATGCCAAATAAAGGTTCTCTGTTCTGTTACCAGTTTTGGTGGTATGGGGGACAAGAAAATTTATCTTTTAAAGTGCTGCTTCTGACATACATCTGCTTACCTTTTCATACACACACAGCCTCAAAATTAAGGCTAACTTTTATTTGTCCCATATATATTAATATAAAACATACATTCCAACCCTTTTCATTGCTTTCACAGTTGAATCACTGCCGCTTTAATTTTACTCTGGACTTGGGAAGCATGCCCCACATTTCCGAGTCTCACCTACACTACCTTGTGAGTCATCCACAGGTACTGTGAAAGCCAGTTGCTCGAGTTTTTTTCTAGTTGGGACAGTTCTGATCAGGAGTTATGAAGACGGCATGCATGAACTGAGGATCTAATATCCCCCTTCCCTTGAATTAACAAGCCCACCTTATGCAGAGAAGGTGTTTCATACTTCAGATCAAGACATGCGTCTATTCTTCTTCTACTGAAAACAAGAAAGATTTTAGTTCACTGGTTTTCCTGAAGTACACAATGCCTTCCAGAGACGCTGCTACAAGACTACCAAATCCATGAAGAGTAACAAAGACAATGGCAGGTATTTTTTATTATTATCTCAGTATAATAACAACTGCATTTTATGAAATATTTTAAACAACTTCAGATGAAAGTACTTAAAGGCCAGGTGAAATGCATTTAGTATAAAGTGTTTCTGTATGCAGGTTTCCATTAGGCTTTAATAAGTCTAGACTGACTTTCCCTATATTACATGGAGTAATTATGTCTTTCAGCTTTTGAACCCAGCGATAGCCAAAAGATTCAACTCACATATTGTAAAGCTGTAAAACTTAAAAACTGTATTGAAAGGTTGCTTTTAGATTTAAAGAGCTAGCGTAGAGTAGCAGTATACAAAGGAGATCTGGGTTCAGATCTCCACTGAACCACAAAGTTTACTGGGCGACTTTGGGGGTCAGCACCCTTAACCAACCCCACCTCTCAGATTGTTGTGAGGATAAAATGGAGAAGGGGAGAAATCTGAGATTCTTGGGCAAAGAATGGGAATACAATCTAACAGATCTGCTGTGTTTTGCTCAGCACATAAAACACTGGGTTTAAATTCTTTTTGTTACATTAATGAGTTCTGAAATTATGCTACTTCACACTGGGTTAACAGTATCTTTTAAAAAAACACCACAAGCAAGGCAGCTCATTTTAAAGTACCATGAATGCATCTTCGAAGGCATTTAAGTTTAGCAGGCTGCTTATGATTATGACATCCTGCAGAACACCTGACTTGGCATAATTGCCTGTGTTCAGCTAATTTACCAATAAATTCATAAGTATCCAAAATATTTCAGCATGCAACGCAGGCTATGTAATCTTTTAGACAGGTGGAAGTTGTTATAGCTTATCTTTAAAAATGTGAAAATTTTGAAGTGACCCCAGTCACTCCAGGTTATAAATCAGCATGTGCATTGTTTAGCTTTGATAGCAAAAAAGGTAACCAATGATTTCACAGAACAAGGAGTGCTTTCTAATATTCAGACTACATGCTTCCAGGATCCCATTTCTTTACTAATTCAAAAACAGACACCTAAAAGAAGCCATGGAGCATGAGTTTTAATTTGTACATATATTTTGCATATGCCTGTGCCTCCCACAGGTCATCCTCAATTTCCCTCTGATCTTTGTGGCTTATTATCCCCCCCCCCTTTTTATAGAATAAATTATAGTGAGCATATCTGCATTTACTAGCTGCAGAGAGAAAAACGGCTCTGTCTGTTGGGAAAAAGAAAAGTGGATTTACTTGTGAAGAGTCATCCTGCCCTCACAGGGTGTGTGAGAAAAGTTTTTTTCCCCCAGATTCTGAACTTCCTGACAGCTATTTAGCCTGTGTGACTCTCCACCTTCCTCTCTTTCAGCCTTCTTTTAGCCTTAAGTTTTCCCCCTCTACAATGCATGTCAGTCTCCATTCCCAACCACAGGTACCTTCCCTCCCTGCACTCCCTACCCTAGAGGGATTCTAGGCAGAGCTAACTCACCAGCCATACAGTTCTCTTGTACATGTAGTATCATGTAGTGTTGTCTGGGTTGCTCCAGTTCCCAAAATGCCTGGGGAAGCCCTGGCATTGTGGAATGCAATGTTCTGAACAATATGCTACTCAGTTCACAAAAACATCAGCCCTTTCTTAGGCCATTCTTCACTCAGTCCTGGATTCATTTGCACCGGGATGACAAGACAGATCATTATGAGAATGCCCAAATTGGAAGACAAGGCAAGTTTTATGTTGTGCTTTCTTAAAATTTTATGCTGTTGCTCCATTTCCATGTCCTAGGACAGCAGTTTTTCCAATCTGCAAAAGCTGCTTACAGTAAAAAAGAGCTGCTGGACAGAGAGAAATCCAGGAATAAAAGCAAACATTAAGAAATTATAGGTGTTTAGATTTCAGTGAGATAATTATTTTAGCATGATGACTGCCAGATTAATGAAAGAGAAAGAATATTGCAAGGGCAGCAGGATTGAGACATCATTACAAACAGTGATGACAAACCCTTACACCGCAACCCATATTGTTCCTGAGGGATCTGCAAAGGCAGGAAAGATGACTCCCATACCAACTGCAAGTCTTTGGATCCAATTTTATGGAAATATTACAGCAACCATATTTTAATTTGATGGTCATACATCATTTGAAATTTGGGATAAATGATGTGCAGGACAGTCCTAAAATACCAACACATCATTGCCTCACATGATGAAGCAGATGTTTCACTATTTATGGGACAGGAAATACTAGGTCAATGACAGAATGGGATTGTACAAAAATTCCTGAAATATTAACCATTTATACTGTTGGCTTCTTGCATTCTACACTACACATTTCTTTAAAAATCCCAAAGATGGTTTTAATAAAGACCCAGCACCATGCCCATATCCAGCAACTGTAAGCAATGAACAAAGGAACGCTTAGCTAAAAGCATGTCCAGAGATAGCTTTTGGTGTATAAATATCGGGGGCAAAATTAATGGGTCAGAAACACTGACCCTTTACCCCACATTTTGGTTTCTCCTTTGACTTTAGGCACAGGAAATTATTCTTTTCTCTTCTGTACTTCAGAGCAACAAATTCAAAGATGAACTGTTCTATCATATCTACTGCAGGAAAAAACAAAGTTAGAACTACTTAGACATGTTGCTGTAACTGTGTTGATAATACTCTGGGGAATACGTAGTGTTTCACCAATGGAAGAGCTGAACTAAACCTTCCCAATATTAGAAACTGGAAGCAAATGACTAAGAACAATCCAGAGCATAGTCCAGCATCAAGTGTGAAGCTGTGAACCCTCACTGGATAAGAACTGTTCATAGCATATAACCTGTTCATCTTGAGTACAGGAGGTGGAAGTACACCTAACCAATGTCCACAAAATAAAGCCAACTGACTACACTCTAAGTGAGCCCAGCATTAACAGTGAGGCTCCATTCATGACAGACTTATTATGTTTCCTATATGACCTTTTTTAAAAAAACAACAACATGCCCTTACAGAAAATCCAAAGCAGTAAGGTTCAACTGAATTAATAACAAAATATACATGATGTCACAAAGACCTGATTATACAGAAGCCACCAAAAAGGACAAAATATCAGATGAAAAAAGAGAAACCTTTAGTCAGTTGACCAGACCAGGGAGCCAATGCAAACTGGCACTGCAAAGATTATTCTTTATGACTCCAGAAGCTTTGCCTGGTCTGCATACTGTATTAGTCATGGGACGCAATACAATGTTTACACTAACATAATATTCTAATATATTATCAGGACTGGATCAAGTCATTTGGCTGCCCCACAGTGGGATGCCCCCTGGGCCACTAATTGGGTCCATGGTAGGACAGAAATCAAAAGTTTGCATTTCAAAAAGCCTTCCTCTCTCACTTTCCCCCAGCAGCTGCTTCTTTCCTCTTCTGTCCAGCCATCATGATCATAGTTGAACATAAAGAAGGGGAAGAGGAGGGAGGTACAGTGGTCAAGAGCAGATGCTGTAAACAACCTCAAGATAGAGGCTTTTAAAAATGCAAAGCCTGATCCTAGTAGTTGCTCTTGTCCCGATCCTCCCCCTCCAGCCTCCTTAGTCATATCCGAGGAAATCTGGTATCTTCAGGAAGTGCTGCCATTCATCATCAGGGTGGGGCTGCACTTCTGAAGGTATCTCTTTTACAACCAGAGGAACCCTAGTGGGGAACAGCCACTGGGGCAAAAGTGCCAGGCAGTGTTCCCCCTAAGCTGAGTTCGTGTGAGCTAGCTCACAGTTTTTTAGCCTCCGGCTCACACATTTTTGTCTTGGCTCTGGAAAAGTGACTCCAGAGCAAACTAATGTATGCAATAGCCAAATCGCTCGCTCACAACTTAAATGCAAGTAGCTCACAAAGTAGAATTTTTGCTCACAGGACTCCATAGCTTAGAGGGAACATTGGTGCCAGGCCACCATCAGTGTACCTCCTTCAGCATCCACTTGTGCCAATGAGCCCTGTATTTATTCATTTAAAGTATTTATACCCCATCTTCTCTCCTTTGACAGCATAGCATAGTACGGGGTAGACAGCTTTCTTTGCTTGAATGCCCCACACATATAAACCTTGTGAAGCTGATGTGTACCAGCAAAGAAAAGATGGAGGGGGGAGAGATGGGTGTTGTACTTGACTGGTTACACCAGGAAAAAGTTGAGCCCCAGTGCTGTTGCCAGTGCCTTAATCAGGGCCAGCTCACCCACTAGGCGAACTAGGCATTCGCCTAGAGCGCCGGGCCCTGGATGGGGCACCAAGCTGTGCCTCCTCCCTTCTCCCCCCCTTTGGTGGTGGCGGCAGGGGGGAGGAGGCAGTGGTGGCAGCAGCAAAAGGGTGGTTGGCTCCAGAAGTCTCCAGGTTTCCAGGCCTCACCGGGAGGTTGGCATCTGCGGCATAAGGCAGCCTTGCCTAGGGCACAGAAACACCTCGAGCCGGCCCTTAATTCCTTGAGTGGAAAACTGGCCCTATGTGCCAAGCAAAACAGTCCAACATGCTACTATTCTTCTTGTATGCCAGGGGTTGCCTACTTCTGGTATAATATATGATATACCAAAAGTAGTAGTATAATATAAACCCCAACGTAGAATAAGCTGTGTAGCCTTGTAGAGACACTGAAAGTTGTGCAAATCTGGAGAAAGTTGCACAAATCTGATACCATCCTCCACATATTGATGGCACATGTGGGTGCTTGGTGCACAAACACCATGTTGGATCTATACCTTGCAATAAAAAGAAAAGCAACAAGGTACAGTTTCAGTGTACATTTATACACACAATACAGCTTCTATCACATGGGAACTCTGTGCCCAATTAACACAGAGAGATAAAGAATGAGGACAATAGGCACAGTTCCAATCTACCCTCCATTCATTGACTTAACCCATTTTATACAGTTTTGCACAGAGCTGCTAAGAAACCATCGTTTAATCATTATCTGTTCTGACTGGTAGTGGCTGCCAGCATGGACAAAAATTCCCCAGTTCCTGGAACTGGATATGTCAAGGATTTAACATAGGAACAGGCAAACCATATTC